TTCTGTCGAGCACCCCGCCAAAAAAGGGGACCATAGGTACCATTGAGCAGTGGACACACAAGCCTGATAAAGGTGACCCGTACCAAACCATACCATACCACTCAGTAGAAACAAAGCATTTCACACTACATTAAGAAAATACTAAAAAAGGCATAATACAACCACAGATGCAAAACTGCTGAGATGCCTTAATAAGAGACTTCCTGATAAAGTGTACCGTGGTGTTTTACTTACCGCCCTCACTGCAGGATTGATCCCCAGGTATTTGCCATTGCCGCATCCGACATCTGCCAGAAAACTACCAGGTGGAAGAGACAACAGGAAGTCTCGCACCTTGGGCCACGGCGAGTGTCGTGTGCTGCTGAAGTGGGAGGAAATCTCTTCATAAACCTGATGAACGTACTGTGACTCCAAACGACACGCATCTCCTTCAGCTACAGGCACAACAGGGGGAGATGGTGGCCGCTGGCTGTCACATACAGACGGATACGCTACAACAGGGAAAAACAATCAGTTATACGTTTACAAAAATAAACAAATGCATAGTAAGTTTCAGTGGCAGCACGATGGCTTAGTGGTTCGCACTGTTGCCTCACAGCAAGAAGGTCACTGGTTCGAGTTTCGGCTGGGCCAATTGCATTTTTGTGTATTTGCATGTTTTCCCCACGTTGGTGAGGATTTCCTCCAGGTGCTTTGGTTTTCCCCCACAGTCTAAAGACATATGCTGTAGGTGAATTCGATAAACTAAATTGGCTGCAGCGTATAAGTGCATGTGTGAATGGGAGAGTATATGGGTGTTCCCCAATAATAGGTGGCAGCTGGAAGAGCATCCGCTGCATAAAACATATACTGGAGTAGTTGGTGGTTCACTCAAACCAGCGACCTTCTTGCTGTGAGGTGACAGTGCTAACCACTGAGCCACCTTGTCGCTTAAATCATCCCAATAATTCTTTTAAATACATTTTATATTTAAACAAAAGTCTTAAAAATTTATTTGATCTTTCACATTGTGACAGTACATAATATTTTACTAGTTATTTTGCAAGATACTAGTATTCAGATGAATTAAAGTGAGACAGGTTAATTAGTCAAGTCAGTGGTTTATTCTGTAGCCAAAACAATAATACAGTTTTTTTTTATCCTTGTGTTGTTTTTTCCCCAAGTAACCTTCCTCTTCCAGCCAAAATAGAAAAGAAATTCAAATCATTTCACAGAAGGGGCTGATAATTTAGTATATAATACATTTTAATACATATATATATATATAAATTAGGGATGAAAGGGATCACGGTTGATCCGTGATTCATACCAATCACAACCCACAGTTCTGAACACACATATTAATACATTGTTTTTACTTGTAGATTAATCCTAAATTTGTAATAATCACGTAGAGATCGCCTCTCGCGTCATTTTAAATCACATGCATGAAAGCATTTAGGCTTTCCTGTAAAATATGGTGATGACTGGAGAAGTTGGGGTGGTTTATTCGGCATGTGGTGGGTTTCTTAGGTTATTAAAAGTGTTTTTCACATTCAAAAATTAAAGTTGTAGCCAGCAACTACATTATTTTACCAATATGTGGTGATAACCAGCCATCAAAAATATGCCACTGAATAATTCTTAAAAAATGACACATCTAGCATTGAAACAAAGTTCTATGAGTGAATAACTGAATCATTTAATGAAAATGAGACAAAAAAATAACATGGGTAGTAGAAATTGTTAGATTTCAAAAAAAGTTAGATTTCTACATTTAGCGTCATTAGCAACAGTACATTTAGCAACAGTAGTAACAGTGAATTCTTCACAGTACTGAATATTTTATTTGTATTTTAATTAAAAATGTATTTTTTATTTATATTTACAATTTTATATTCATTTTTATTCAGCTGATAATTTCTTCATTTTATTTTTAATGAAAATACAGGTTCTGAGTTCTGTTTGTTGAAACCAAGTGACAACCTCCTGCTCTCCCTTGTAAAGCAAATACGTAACTGAAACTGCAATTCATAGAAATTCCACTAGTCCTGGCTCCATAATAGAGCACATTTCTATTGACCCCACTGTTGAAATGACCAACTTTACAGCAGAAAAAAAAGTGTTTACAGCCTGGTACAAAGAACAATTTTGGTTCATTTAGCTAATGTTACCCCTCATGACAACTGTGAAGCGGGTGATTTTTTTGTAACTCCTCTGTTTTGTTTATATTAAGCTATATCAAGACTGCATAATTAAGGGCGTGGCCACTTGAGTGACAGCTAGGTCTCGCTGGTCACCATCCCTTCACCTCAGCTGATTAGCTCGAGATATACATCATATTTTTGTTTTGTTTTATGTGGCTTTACACAGTCAGTTGCTTTTTAAAATTATTTCCTACAATTATCAGATAATATGGCATGCTGTGTGTATTTAATTGTGTTCACAAACCATTCATGTAACATTGTTATACAGAGTTATGGTTGGATTTTACAAATAGCCTTGCATTTACTAACACAGACTATATTTGAAGCATTTAGAAGTAATTCACATTTTTCTCCTGTAGAAAAACGTCGTAAGAACAATGTTTAGTGGCTCAATGTATTACAACACTTTTTTGATATAGTTTACAACCAAGCACATGTGATCAGAACACAAACGAGTCGCAGGTAATGAAGTAATAAGCATTTCTCCCAAAGAAAAGCCTGTCTAAGCAAAATGCTAGCAGGCGTCTGTAGCTCTGCTCACGCTCTGCCTCTTTGCCCTTGTTTGGTATCCCCTGTACAGTGCGATGATGTGCAAACAAAATGGTGACGGCTGGCCACGCCTACTGGTAACTTCTTTTGTGTTCTTCAGAAACCAATGAGTGACATCATGGATTCTACATCCATAACTTTTACAGTCTATGGTTAATACCAAGTGTCTTGCAGTGCTGTTTTTGTCATAAATGGAAAGCAAATGACATTTGTTTCCTCCCCATTTTGGCTAATCCGACATATGGTCCGATTCGTGACTAAAAAAACAATGCGATTCGAACTGTGAGGTTTGTGATCTGTTACACCACTAACCGTACATTCACACTGAAAGCGGCGAGAGCGTCCAAGGTCGCTCTGACCGCCCTGGCGACAACGCTGTCTGCCTTCAGCTCCAGCGACGAGAGCGGCAAAACTCGCTACATTGATTTCGTATTTAAAGGGAGCCGTTGCAGCATATCAGTTACATTCCTGCATAAAACATGTTTTTAGCATGAAAATGTTGCGCGCTTCTTATCAAATTCATGTAACAATGGAAGATCAAGTTGCGTGTGGTGTGGCTTTGCTCTAGTTATCCAATATGTGTCCATATGTCTAAAATATCCTAAAGCAGCTATACTGTTTTGTACTGTCACGTCGCGTGAGATTCCCACTTTTTTAAGATAAATATATATATATATATATATAAAACATTATTCCACATCAGTAATTCGCCAGTAACTTATTTAATGCATGTTCCTGTAAGAAAACATTGTAAATAATTGGAAATCCGGCGACCGCAATCATCAAATCCTTGGGAACAACTGTGGTCAGAACCAAAGTTCACAGGTCTGTGTTCTCTAAACTCCTATCAAGCGGTGGATGTCTTCATTCTGATTGCTTGCCGCCGAACTGCGTCATAGCTCATTACCATAAAGTTGACTTGATTTCGACTCTCCTTGACGCCCACGCCGGCGAAGACGCGCCGCACTGCTTCTCACCGCTGTTTCTCATTGAAAATAAATGACTTCCAGCTACTTTGACGCTCTCGCCGCTTTCGGTGTGAACGTATGGTAATATTAAATTGTGTAATATTATAACTATATACTATTCTGCTCTTCATATATTTCATGATATATAAATCAGATATTTAAAAATGTTTTTGAAGTCTCTGAAGGCCTATTTAATATTTAGAATAATGAATAAACATTTTTAAAGAGGTCATGAACTGAGAAATCCACATTCACTCAATCTTCTGACATATAAGACAGGTTTAGGAATGAGCAAATCATTGTGAAATAGTATTTCTTTAAAATAAATGAGTAAATAAAAGTACTTTACTCACCACAGTTGCAGGGAGTATGCCGTATTTTGCGGAAGGTCAGCGATGTCCTGGTATCACGCCGGCTCAGGGTCAGATTACTCAAGTCAGAGGTCATGACCCCTGACCCTCCAGTCTCTGACACAGGTACCACATCAAACTTCCGAGGTGTTATGCTGACATTAAACACACACACAAAACATGTTTATCGCTTCCTAGAACAAAAATTCATGTTTTTGTAAATATGAAAAGTAAATTTTTTTAAATCATTAATAAATAAATAAGATGTAATATTTTGGTCACCCATAAAATAATTAAACTTACAAACAATAAAAATAAAATAAATTACACACATTTATGCATAAGTACAATTATATACATCAAAAGTACATGCAAAATTGTATGTATATATATATATATATATATATATATATATATATATATATATATATATATATATATATATATATATATTATTTAATCAGTATATCTTTAAACTGATTTTTTAATTGTGGCAAGTGATTTTAGATTTGGATATCACTGATAAAAATGTGGGGTATATAAAATTGTCAAATATTCTGCATACATACACAACTCACAAAAGAAAGGAGGAAAGGACAATCATAACATAAAAAAAGATGTTTCTCACCCATGAGTCCACAGATAGCGGCTCTCTCCTTTCATCACAAGCAGACTTCTCTCTGGCAGCACCACGGCGACAGAACGTCCATCAGGATGCTTAAAGTCCATCACTGTCTGTAAAAAAATAGAAGGTGAGACAAGACAAGATGTCAAAAAAAATATCCATGTGGGAAAATCAGTAGGATCATTTTCCATCTCCATCTTTGTTTTGACAAAGGAAAATCAAATAATCAATAATGCTGCTGTACCATAACCAATCAATACGTCTGAACAGGCCTGGTGTAACAGAACACTGTTCCACTTCATTACACCGACCAATACAAAATACCAGTGTTAAAGTAGCTGTGTGTGAGAATTTTCATGCATTATTCATTTTTTATTATCAATGATTGAACAGCCTGACACAAAACTTAAAAACGGAGATCGTCCCCGACTTCCTAAAGTGTCTATTAAAGCCTGTAGGGCGATGTTTATGTATATAAAAAAAAAACATTGAGAATTCTGGTCAAGAAGATTAAGAACATGTTCAGAATGCTTAAAACGTTAAAGATACAGTGCAATAATCTCAAAAACCTTAATGCTACTAAAATCATACTAAACACCAAACAGCCTTAAACAATCACTAAATAAAACGAATGAAGAATGAAAGGAATGGCCAAATGAAGAAAGGATCGACAAGGAATGGAAGAACCAAATAAAGAAAGGACAGAACTAATGAAGGAAGGAAGGACCAAATGAATGAAGGAAAAATACAAGGAAGGACTGAACAAACTAAGGAGGAAATAAAAGAATGAATGAATGAATGAATGAAGAACCTAATGAAGGAACAAAATATGAATAAATAAATAAGCAAACAAATGAAGGGAGGAAAGAAGGAAGGACCAAATGAATGAAGAATTCAAGGAAGGACTGAACAAACTAAGAAAGGAACTGAAGGAAAAAAGGAAGGAATGAACCAACCAACCAACGAGAACAAACCAATCAACAAACAAACAAACGAACGAACGAACAAACAAACGAAGGGATAAACAAATAAATGAAGAAACGAACAAACTAACAAACAAATGAATGAATAAAGAAAAAACAACAAACAAACAATGGAAGGTTGGAAGAAACAAACGAATAGAGAAAGATCCCTAAATGCACTACAGAATGTTACGTTTACACATCCCTGCACAAACTGCATGTAAACGCATCAACTTTTCACAGTGCAACACTCACTATTCTTGAGTACTTTTAAAAGGGCTACTTTTTACACATATTTGGAGAAATATTTACAACAGATACTTTTACTCTACCTGCGCTACATTTTTGGGAAAATAATTATGGAAGCCCATTACCGCCACTGAATAAAGAATAAATAAATAAAATAAAGTCGGAATTGCGAGTGATAAAAGGTTAAGTCCACAATTACTTTTTATATTGAAAATACGTCATTTTTGTGTGTTTTTTCACCAAATCAGTGATATAAATTATGAATTTGGCAATAAAAGAGTTAAAATCATGTAATATTCTGAACAATTTAGTAGTTTTGATCAGAACTTAGGTTGATTAACAGATTTAAGCAAAAAAAAACAACTGAAAAATATATTTATCTGATGCAGTTTTAATGCAGTTTAATTTAGTAAATGTTTTCATCCCGCACATAATAAAAGGGTAGTACATTTGCCCAGAGTGTATCGTCTTATTTTTAGTGAAAGCATTGACCCATAATAAGTCTCAAAACAAGATTTGTCATCAAAAATCATTCTGCTAGCTGAAACACAGGAAAAGTTATGTCCAAATTAAAACTCAAAATCACCCCAGAGTGGATGAAAACATCTTCAACAGCACACAAAGGTAAAAAGAAAGAGTGCATTGCATTTTTTGATATTCATCTAAATATCACCCTTAGCAGTGCAGATACATTCAGTATATCATTGAAAACATATTTCGTCTAACTTCTAGTAAATAAAACAAAACAAAAACTAAGGAATCTGTTCTCACATTTTTTCTGAAATGCTGAGGATTTTGTGCAAAGTTAGGGTCTGGAGGCTTTCTATGACGTCATCACAACAGATTTACCCAAAACGAAGGCCAGAAGGATACAAACAACCGCCATATTTTTTCACACATCATTATCTTAGGAGGCAGTATATACCTTTTTTGTACAATATATTTATTACTTTTTCAATTTGCATATCACAACAGATTAGTTACAGAATAATAATCATGAAGACACAGCAAACTTTTTACACCCTATTCTCCCTTCCATCAACCCATTACATTCATTTTTTTTATATAAATGAAAGAGAAAAAAGGATGTTTAAATCTAGTAAAGAGTGTTTCCCGAGTCTATGTTTAGGCCATGATACTCTCCTACTAAGCTAGTTCTTGTTATAGCAGACTGCCAACATTTACATTGTACTTCAAGAAAGGCAGTATGTACACCTTTAAACTGGTCTGTAAGTCTGCATTCAACCAGACGAGGAAGACAAATCATGTTAAACACTGACTTTGAGTCTCTTATGAACGCTGAAGTTCCATTATTGACCACCAATGTCACAAATTTTACAAATAGAGACTGTTTTTGGGATTGTTCACCCCAAAATTAAAATGATCCACATATTCCAAACCCTGGTTTCTTCTGTTGAACACAAAGAAAGATATACTGAAGAATGCAGGAGAAAAAGCAGCCACTGACATCTTTAGTTTTATTGTTCCTACTATAGATGTCGATGGCTGTTTTTTTCCCCAAGATTTCAGAAAATTTTTCATTTTATGGCTAAATTATTCCATTAAAAAGCAAGAGATAATATAAAACATGAATAAAACCTCACATTATTATCAATACCTTTGCACCAAGACTCAAGGAAAGGATGGTGTCCTCAAACGGAGAGTGAGTGTCCACATGAGGGGGAATCCCTGTAACAGACAATAACACCCAACTCATAAAAACCGACATAAATCTCCCCTCAGCTGCGTGAATACATGATGTACTACCTTGTCCGCTTTGGTATTGGTTTACAGTGAGCTGGTCTGGAAGGACACTTATATGGCCGCCAGCCAAACATCTTTGTAGTAAAGCATCACATTCCACAGGCAAGCCTGAAACGACAGGTGTCAATTCAGTTTTGAATATTAGCTGTGGAATACTTCGAATAAACAAATATGTTAATTTGTTATATAAGGTTAATGTGGCAATTTTCAATTCCATAACGTTCCTTTTACAGCATTGATAATATAAATTAATTAAAATATAATTAGTTAAATATACAAAAACATTCTATTAGTGGTTCAAGTGTAAAAAGAGATGAAGGACTATTCGGATGCAAGCGCCTTCAGGAGCAGCAGGTGAGCAAAATTTAAAATACTGTGGTAAAATTAATGTTTTTATTTTAAAGATATGGCACAGAACAATGGAATTTAATGCAGTGCCGATCTGAGACCCACTTTATATTGTATATCAATCAGGCAGTGAAGATAAAAAAACAGACCTTAAATACTGCGACTTTGTAATAACATGACAGTTCACCGGAAGCGATTGAGCTGGCTGACTGAAAATGAAAAGTCTTCATGCATATGATCAAATGTGAAAATTAAAACGTAAAAAAAAGATCACTTTCAAACATAGTTATTTATCTCGAACATTCAATTTATACATTTAACACACAACTATTTAGAAAAGAATCTGTTTTCAGCTTTGACAAGTAAAAAACGTTTCACAGGTATCAGTTTAATACTATAAAGTATTTCTGAAGGACCAACGACACTAACTATGTTTCCATCTTAAGATGCGAATTAAATTTATGCGCAAAATTGAAATATCGCATATGAGACATGTGAATAAAGCAGCGTTTCTATCTAATGAGTCCAAGAGAACAAAAACATCACTTCCTGATAAACTGGCACCAATTATCAAAAGTAAAATTAATTTAATGTGGTAGAAGAAGCTGCATGAATCTTTTCTTTATTTAATACATTACTTGCGTGTTAAAAGACAATGCCAACATGCAATGAACACGTGGTGGCGTTTGGAGGAGTGAGGCGCGAAACCGAGACGCTCTTCTGGAGGTTTTTAATAATATAACAACACTAATACTAAAATTAATACTGAATCAAAAGTTGATCCTACTCAGTTATTTGCATAAGTTTTTTATGCGCATTTCAAAATTGATGCACATCTTTGCATTTCCATCAACCATTTAATGTGCATTTTCAAAATACACATAAAAATAGGTGGATTGAAACATAGCTAATGAGGACTGAAAACTGATGTCATTAGTGTAATAAATGGCATTTAAAATATTAAAATAAGAAAATATTGCTTTAAATTTCAATAACAGTTATTTATAAACATACTATTTTACTGTAATTTGATTAAATGAGTGTAAGCTTGATGTAAAAAAAAAAACATTCATCTTACCAAACCCAAACTAAGAAGAGAAAATGTGCTTTTTTTTTCAATACTCACCACCTGGCAATGGCTTGTCTTTGTCCACATTATTATTATCATAGCGAAACTCATATCCATAATGCTTCACTCTTCTGTGTTTCAAAGCTTTCTGCGCTGAAATGCAAAATCGAAATGATTAGAATTAATAACTGGAAATTCTTTTATGAAAATGAGGACTAAAAATTAATATGACAAGACTTTAAAAAAATACAAATTTAAAAATTTCACTCAAACCCACACATAATGCAGAAGAAAAAAAAGTTGCATATCAATATACTTAAACCTGATAAACAACATTAAAAACAGACCGTTTTTTATTAAAGACTTGCCTCAAACTTAAATTTTTTTACTTTATTAAATCAGTGGCACAAGAACAAGAGGTATTGCATATTAAAATAGTTTTCTAACAAAGAAAATACTAAACATAAACATTTAGATGACTTTAACCCTTGTGCACTGTTTCAATGTACTACCCTTTTGTTATGTTCCGGATGAAAACATCCACTAAATTAAACTGCTGTAAAAATGCAATAGATCAATATTTTTTCTATTTATTTAGCATAAATCTGTTAATTAACCTCAGCCTTGATTAAAACTACTAAATTGTTTATAAAATTACAGGATTTTAACTCATAAATGGTATCACTAAAATTTATAAATGATATCACTAATTTGGTGAAAAGAAAACACACAAAATGAATTATTTTCAATATAAAAAGTAGTTGTGGACTGGATTTTTAAATCTTCTATCACAGTCTTGGACATGTGAAAGATTATTTACCAGCATTGGCTTTGATGCACTGTTAGTTTTTGTGTAGCATAAGATTTTCATCCCCATTTTTCTGTTGGTGGCTGTTCTTGCCCCATTGACATCCACTAGAACCACATTTTTTGATTGCCAAGCCATGACACCATATAATCATGCATTTAAGATTTTTGCTGGTTTCCCTGTTGGAAAGAGGTAAAATTTGTCATTTTTACTCAACGCTAATAAATTCAAAGCATTTTCCCAAATATGTGTCAGAATAATATTTGTCATCGAAGTCATTCTGCTAGCTGAAACAGAAAAGGTTATGGCCAAATTAAGACTCAAAATCACCCCAGAGTGGATTAAAACTTCAACAACAGAACATAAGGGCGAAGTGTTTTCAGAGCATTACATTTTCAGTGCTTTTTTTGTTTTGAAATTGTTCTAAAAGTTTTACATATAACTTGAAGTCATTAATAAAATGGAAAAGGTTTGGCTTCTATTGAGCCCACTATTTTTCTTATGTACAGTATAGGGTATTTTCCTAAAAACATAAACACATTAAAAATATGTTGTCTTTAACAATTCAAGTGCTCATTATCAGAATAACACAATACATCTAATAAACACATTTCTATCTTACACTACATTTTTTGATTTGGCAATAAGCAATAACAAATCTTTCCAAAATATTCTTATGTAAATACAATGAAAAAAAAAAAAATGCAAAATCGTTTCTTTTTCTTGACCACAGAATTTACATATTTATGAAATATTAAGCGAAAATCTTGTACTTGACTTTAAAAATTTTTTTTTTTACTAACATCACTGCCTTGAACAAAATCTTTACAAAGCCTATAGAGGGTATATGCAGAGCTATGTCTCATCCCATACTGATAAACTTCCAGTGAACGGTTAATGTCTTTTTTCCATTTTATACGGTTTCTTTTACAGCATCAATGTTGTAATATAATTTAAATATAACCAGTTAAATAGACATTGGCATTCATTTAGTTGCTCAAGTGTAAAATGAGAAAGATCCATGCGCATGCATGCCCATCAGCATTAGCAGGCTAGCACAGAAGCTCCATTGAATATACTGGGGTAAAATAAATGTTCATATTTTAAAGACATGACGGTGGAAAAGTGTCATTTAAAGCAGTGCTTCTTGTAAAATCTGAGACCCACTTTATATTGGATATCACTCAACCAGTGGAGATCGCTGATTTTTAAAGAAAACCGACCTTAAACATGCCAATTTCTGGCATACAGTTCACCAGAAGCGATTGACCCAGGTTACTGACAAATTACAAGTCCTTCTGCATACTTGCGCATATACTCATCATTAAGAAAAAAAACATCATAAGCTTTAAGAAACGTATTCTTTCTTCTTATTATTAATAATAATAATACGTTTAAGAGATTCAACTTGAACTAAATGAGTGTGGTTTTCCCTGCCCACCGATTGATTGACAGGTGCCATGTTTCTATAATAACTTGTTTGCACTTGTCCACAGAACATTTTTTTTTGCAAATAAAAATATTTGAGAATAAAAATACAGAGATTAAAATATTTGTTTCAACTCTCTGTGATTTTTATAAGTTTTAAAAGTTTATAACGTTTTTAAAACAGAGCATGTTTGTAATAAAGAAAGTAAAATCACTATGCAATTCTTAACCGTTATAATCACCACGGCACCATGTCAGTAAACGCGCACATATATGTGTGTGTGTACTGCAAACGACATTTGTGTGAGACTCATCCTTTCAGAAAGGCTTGAATAAACTCCACCATAAATACATGAAATAAACTCACTTGGTTTTTTGACTAACAAGCTGTATTTCAGCTTTATCCGAGTCTGTTTCTGTCACTGATGGCTGTTTAAATGATGTAGCGAATGAGAAGCTGACACGCATGTGGGAAGAGTGGGTGGGGCATTTAAAGCCACAGGCTATAAAAACAGCTACAATTTATTCAGACACCAAAATGGGCGGATTCTGGATATAAGAAATAATCTGATGGGTATTTTGAGCTGAAACTTTACAGACACATTCTGAAGACACCAAAAGCTTATCTTACATCTTGTAAGAGGTAAAATTGGTGCCCTTTAAGAATAAGAGAGAAGTAGGGTCATTACCAGAGAAGTACAGGAATATATAATTTATAGACTAATTTAAATCATATATAAACAAGGGTGATAAATAAAAAATAATGTTATGCCAAGGAAATTTACTCGAACTTGAATTTCTTTTTCTTTTTTTTTCGAACTTGAATTAGCATTAACAATCTCTTACCAGTGACATCATCAGCGTGTGGTGTCCAATCAACAGCCTTCAGAATCTGCAGCTCCTCCTCCAAAGACACAAAATCCTCCAATACAGACAGACCAGGAGGCAAAGCACAGGACACACTCCTGTCACAGTCCACTGGAAAACAACCAGATTCATTAAACACGGAGCTCAGTAACAGTGTTTATTAAAATATGTCCCGCGTGATGCACCTTTCACAACATAGCTGAAATAAAGTGTCATGGTCTGATCCTGACACTGTAGTGTTCGTCCATTGAGAAGTGTGTATGCATTCTGGCCAGCTTCGATAGATGAATAAGACACAAACGCATAAGGTTTTGATGGAGGGGTGAGGAGAGACTCAACAGTTCCTCCTTCTTTAAGGACCTCCAGTAGAGACTCTCGGCTCACTCCATTCCCCAAACCGCCATTAGAAACCACCAGATGCTGCAATAAGAGACATGCAGAAATAGACATCACTGACTGCTCTTTGGGTTATTTAGACAAAGCAAACACACAAAAAAACACACATATATATATATATATATATATATATATATATATATATATATATATATATATATATATATATATATATATATATATATATATATATATATATATATTACTGATTTTATAGGGACAGTTTACCCAAAAATGAAAGTTATCAACATTTTACTCACGCTCTACTTTTTTTTAAAACCTATTCGAGATTGATCTTTGAGTTTGATTTTTTGATCAGTTGAAAACAAATTATTCTTTTTTTTTTATAAATTATTTTTATTATAAATTAATTTGTTATATAAATTATTTTGAAGCATGTTGGAAGCCGGTAACTATTTACACACACGAAAAGCAAATGCTATGGATGTCAATGGTTACTGATTGTCAACATTCTTCAAAATATCTTTTTTTATATTCATCAAAACAACCAGAAAAAAAACTTGTTCAGGTTTGGAACAAGTCAAAGGTGAGTAAATCTAGAAGTTTTTTCATTTTTAGGTTATTTACCCTTTAAATTTTACATTAAAATGAACAGGCAACACAATATTGTGCATACATCACAAATATGACTGATTTTATAGAGACAGTTCACAAAAAACAAAATCTGTGTTATCACCATTTACTTATCCTCTACAGCAGGGGTGCCCAAACTCAGTCTTGGAGGGCCCTGCATGGTTTACCTTACACTTTCTTCAATACATCTAACTGGAAGGTTCTAGTCTACCTGGAAACAGCTAGATTAGCTGTTTCAGGTGTGTCTAATTGGTGTTGGAGCTAAAATATGCAGGACACTAGCCCACCAGGACTGAGTTTGGGCACCCCTGCTCTACAGTTTTGAGGTTTTTTTTTTTTACCTGTTAAAATGATTTTGAAGCATGTTAGAAGCTGATAAACTTTGATAAACAAGAAAAACAAATGCGCTGGATGTCAATGGTTACTGGTTGTCAACATTCTTCAAAATATCTTCTTTTGTGTTTAACAAAAAACAACAACAAACAAATTAATACAGGTTTGAAACAAGTCAAAGTTGAGTAAATGCCCTGCTGAAAAAAACAGCATATGCTGGTAAGATATGTTTTGATGCTAGTATGCTGGTCTCAATGCTGGTTTTGCTGGTTTCAGTGCTGGTCTCAGTGCTGCTCCTGACCAGCATTGAGACCAGCAACACCAACATTGAGACCAGCAAAACCAGCATTGAGAAAAGCAAAACCAGCATTGAGACCAGCAAAACCAGCATTGAGACCAGCAAAACTAGCATTGAGACCAGCAAAACTAGCATTAAAACCAGCATTGAGACCAGCAAAACTAGCATTGAGACCAGCAAAACTAGCATTAAAACCAGCATTGAGACCAGCAAAACCAACATTAAGACCAGGAAAACCAGCATTGAAACAAGCAAGACCAGCATCAACACATACTTTACCACATGCCGTTTTTTTCAGCAGGGTGTAGAACTTTTTTTGTTTTCAGGTGAACTAAGTTAACCCTTTCAATTTTACATTACATTTAAAACAGTTTACCATGGACTGCACTACATTCGTTTAAAATGATCTGTGGATTTAATAGCAAAAAGACTTTTATTTTCAGCATATATATTAGCATTAATTATATACAATGAATGACACATTACACTATGACAGATGTCTATGGTACTGTTCATTAAACCTCTGCAACGCTCGGACTAAATCCTTCTGGGTGACAATACACCAAAATAAGCTTCATAAGTACCTTTGTGGGGTGTGATACTGTGGTTATGTCCTCGTGCTTCAGTAATGTGTGACTGGCTTTAATCTGCCTTCGGAGTAGTTTTTTCTCCTCTTTCGTTCTTCGGACACTTCTCGAGCTCTCCATGCTGCTCTCAATAGTGCAACAGCATAACTGATCCGCCGTGGCCCGTGAACACAAACTGCAAGATTGGTTCCTAGTATCCGAATAATTATTGATTTTGTATCTTATTTTAGTAAAGTATGCTTACAACGTGCAAAGTCATGTGTAGTACATTTGGACATATAATTCATGTCTGTAAATATCATCCGATTATATTTCCGAAAGCACATTGAACATTCATTTAAAAAACTTTACATAATTATATCACAGAAACACGTGCAAAGTCATGCTAGAAACCGGCTGGTAATGTGCTGAGTTTTGAAAATATGTTACTAACATTCTATTTCCATGCCAGAAAATAAAATATTAGCAACATTTAAACCACAATAACAGGTGGTATAAATGAAAACTGGAGAATTAATGCTAGCAACATGTTAGCCATGTGCTAGAATTGTGGCAAAACATAATTCAGCTATCAAGTGAAGGCATTTTAGATCTAGAACTCATGCTAGAAATGTAATATATCATGCTAGTAACATGCTAAACGTGGAAACAGACGTAAAATGTTACGTTAGTTGTATTACATGACATGAAAAATGCTAGCAACTTTCTAGAAACATGACATCTAATGGTAATTTATTTTCCATGCTAAAACATACTGTGTACTAAACATAAATAGCAGCAACATAGTAGTAAGAGACACATTTTTTACATTTTCGTCACATTAAAACAACCAGAAACATGTTAAATACCCGAAACAGGTTAGCCTACGGTTACAATATATTATCATGTTAACAATATGTTAGTTCTGCAAAAAACATTTTAGAACCTTGGTAATACAATAAGCACTTTTTTTGTCATACATTAATAGATCAGCCAATTATTTATGTAAATCCTTTAAATCAATAGTATCTGGATGCAGCCTTTATGATGCAAGCTGAGATTGCATCACTCAGCGATGCTATGTCAGACACAATGAACTCAATGGAGTGAGTGACGTCACTGTGACGGGTAGGGTTAATTGAGCGCTTTAAAAAGCATTGCATGCAGCTCAGATTGCACTGCACCAGATCTGCATCTAGACCCCTCTCCTTTAAATTGGAACACTCAATGACTATCTTGATGGCATGGCTACCAAGATGGGCCTTTTTAGTATGTGGACAATTATTTGGCATTTGACTAAAAGTGTTGATGACATGAAGCCTGATTTTAGATATATGAAAAACAATCTAAACCAAGTTAAAAGTTCAATTAAAATTGTTTAAATTGCTTGCCTCTACTTTTAAAGATCTGAACTTTTAATTTAGATTACTAGCAGCTACTTTAAATGAGAAGACACTTGAAAAAAATAATGTTTAATTTAGTTTGTGTACTAGTATGTTTACTTATCAGATGATCAAGCAGGGAGAAATCTAAATTCACTTGTATAAACCAGCACACAAGCAAAGCCCATTTTCAATAGATGATATTGGCTTGATAAAATTGATCAACCCTTTAAGAGACTTCCGAAAACACATCTGCAGAATAATACCACAAGTTCATTCGAGGCATGCATGCAAGTCTAAACCCATGGACACTTCAGTGCAGTAATGAGATAAAGGTTTTTTGAGCCCCTTTACTGGGATTAAAATCATTCTAGTCTGAATGTAAATGCAATTATGAATCGACATTGAAATTGTCAGCCAGCATTAAAGCAAAAATGAAATTTCACTCGCACTCAAGTAATTACATTCATTTTTCTGTTTAACACAAAAGGATATTTTCTAAAAGATGTTTGTCATTGGGTAACCATTGACTTGCACAGAAGGAAAAACAAACACTGTGGAAGACAATGTTTACAGGTTTTCATGATTTCTTAAAATATCTTGTGTTCCGCAAAAAAAACTCAGACTGTTGAGACAAGTGAAGGGTGAGTAACTGATGACAGAATGTTCAGTTTTGGTTGAACTACCCTTTTAAGGATTTATGCCGTAATGATTAATGGAATCTGCAATTCAAACATTAATGAATATGACTAATTGATTCAGCAAAAAAAGAAATCTGACTGAACATCACAAAGTTCTGTCTTTTTGAAAATCTACCTCAGCATGTGAGAAATGTAAAAACACAAACCACAGCCATATCAGATAAAAATGTTTTACTAAAAATATTTAAAGAAACAATAACAAAGGTATGCTTCTGAAAACTGTTGATCTAGTTAATCGAGATTCCAATAATTCTGACAAGCAAAACTCAAAATTCATCTCTCGGTACTGTATATTACACAGAGGATAATCATACAAAGAAAAAACAAAACAGAAAAACCCGGGAGCTGTGTTACTCTCCATAAAGAATATATTGCAGCGGGATGCACTCCCGTCCCAATGGATGCAGGAAAATGGTTCAGTTATATCAGTCTTTTGTCATCTGCAAACTGTGGGTCCATCTAGTGGCTGAAGCAAGAATTTCAGGAGCGAAGAAGGATGCGAACAAGAGATGAAAGTTTTCACAATAAATCCTTATTTCTTCCCCTTGGGTGGTGGTCTGCAAAGAGGATGGGAAACAATACTGTATAAATAAAATATGTATAAATAAAACAAACATTGTAGGTAAATTCAAGTCCTATCCAGACAAAGATGTTTCTGAAAGTTCCTGCAATGTTCCAGTCAAAAATATTTATATATTTATGCTTTTGTTTCATTAACAGCTGTGCTTCATTTGTGCTGAACAAGTTTTTGTGGTTTGGACTGGATGTTTATATGTGCACCAATAATCAGACTTACAGTAAGTTCATATCTCAGTCTCTTCACATTCCAATAGTAATGATTAAAGTAAATTATCTAAATTTATATGTATTTTTATATTCTGGGTAAGGCATAAAACAAAGCAAAAAGTGTTAATCCAATTAAATATTGTCGGGCCAACAATTCCCATAATTCTGATAAGTAGCCCAAACTGTCTGTCAGCAAATGTAGATTTGTAGCTCTGGTGACGCAGAGCTGCCACTGTTCATGTGCACGAGACAAACACAGTCGCAGTAAAATCAAATGCTAAAGCAAAACCCACTGAAATCTTCAGGTGAAAGACTGATGTGACTACTTTCAGTTGCAAAAGGCCTTTTACAGCATCAATAATGTAGATTTTATTTAAATTGAACAACAAAACATCAGCGCTGTTCCACCTAGCCTGCTTTACTGAGCTGAAGTTGGTTTTCTTTTCACGTTGGGTCATTTCTGAGTAATGACAGCCATATTTGGTCTGAAATAGCATGCAAGTATGGCTTAGTAATAAGCGTAATTCCTGCACACCAGCTGGCCAAACACTAAGCATACAGTAGTTGCTTTAGGACAGTTTGAGAGAGTGAGACCATCCTTGCATGTGTGAAGTATTGCACATTATGACAAGTTTTGCTTGCTACACAACTGAAAATGTGCTACACATAACACAGTTTTTTTCTTCTAGAACTGTAGTAATATTAAGTACTGTAAAGTTTTCAAACTGGCGAATGACACAAACTAGTGGGTTGTCTGCTGTCATCTTTAATGAGCGCGTGATTTCATGATTTCAGCAGGTGTGGCTTTGGACGGCAGTATCGTGCAGCCCTACAGCGCCCAGACTGCAGCTCTGCACAAAAAGTTTGGCCAAAGGAGAAATGGTCGCGTCCAACTGAGCCTGCTTTCTCTCAAAGATTTTTTTTCCTTCGCTTTTGTCAATTGTTAAAGTTTTGTTCCTTGCCACTGTCACCACTGGCTTGCTTGGTTTGGGACTCGTGTGCATCGATGGGTTTGCTCTTCAGTATTTGGACTTTTAGTAGTGAAAATTAAACTATACTGAACTAAACTTCTCTGAAAACTGGACGAACATAGTTTTTATTGAGTAGAACATCAATGTTAAGCTGCTTTGGCAATTTACACTTTAAAAGTGCTATAGAAATAAACATGAATTGAATAATTATGGCTAAATAAATTGATTGTTTCAATTATCAGCACCATTTCAACCATTAAACAATTGTAAATGTTTGCTACATTGTTCTTAACCTGACTAGCTATGTTCAATCATGATAAATATAAAGTCTCTTATTTGTTGTCATGCTTGACGATTTGGTTCATGTGATTCACTTTTCGAGCTTCTAAACTTTTATTAAGCGAGCATCGATGTGCAAACATTTAGGTCCACTGGAAAAATGTAGCGATAAAGGCAGCACTTAAAATGGCTGTCTCTCTTATCAGTGCACTGTCTACTGAACAAGGGAGCTGATTGTGGCGCACCCAATATCATAGTCGAAACAATTGTTTTTCATTCTATTCATCAAGACTTACCTGTAGATTCCGACAACGACAGCGTGATCTCTCTCGTATGGCTCCAGTGTGAGCTGCTCCTGAGGCTTCATATTCTCAGCGCTCATCTTCTTCACCTCGGACGCAAACACTGCTTCTGGAGCTGCTGTGGAGTCAATACAGTTCGCCTGAGGAAGGAAATATAAGTTTATAACTGAAGGACAATGAAAACATTGGCAGACCAAAATCTCAGGAGATTTGTACTTATTCTAACCTTGATTGAAATAACAAAATGGCCTCCGTTCTTTAGAAAATTGTGTGCGTTGAGGGCAACAATTCTGGTTTGGTCAGGCTGAGCAACATCAGCAAAGATGACGTCCACCATTCCTGTAAGAAAACAAGGCATCGCTTTAATAAACATTCATGTGTATTTATATCTCAAGTGCTCGCATCTCAGGAACTTACCGACAAGCATGCGGTACTTGTGCGGGTGTCGGGCATCTTCAATGATGGGAATAATATTGGTTCTTTTTTTCGCTACATTAAGCAAGTCTCTGCCCGATCTGTGTGAGAACTCAACAGCATACACCAACCCTTCCTATGGTGAGAAAATTAATGTAAATCACTAAAATGTCAAAGACACTTTCAGAAATACAGTGTAATGTCCTGTGGAAAATAATATTGCTTATTCATCGAAAAATCCCAAACTCTGTTTTTTTTTTTAACCAATTATAAACAATGCTTTAAAATGGAATAAAATTATTTTATTAAAGTCTAATTACTAGTCTAAACTAATAAAATTCTGAAAAAAAATTACTGTAAATAAAATGCATGATACAACAGTTGAAAAGTAAAATAGGAGCTAATAAAAAGTGGTAGCAAAAGTTATTAAACCAAATAAAAATCTCATTTATAATATTCTGTATCAAAAAAACTGGCTGCTTTAATATCTGTAAATTGCACCTGTTTTTAAACCCAAATATTTCTGTTAAAATTACATAACAGCTTAATTTTCAATGGTGACAGTTATGCCACACTCTACAGCATTATTAAAACAAAATATACAACACTTGAGATTTGTTTTAGCTGATTTTATGTGGACAATAAGGAAAGAAATAAAAAACAGAAAAAGAAATAAAGAAAAAGAAAAGAAAAAAGAAAGGGGAAGAAATAAAGAAAGAACAAACAAAGAAATAAAGGAGAAAGAAAGAAAAAGAAAAAAATGAAAAAGAAAATGAGAAAGAAAAAAAGAAAGAAAGAGAAAAAGAAAAAAAAAAAAAAAAGAAAATGAAATGAAATAGAGTAGACATACCGGTCCAACAATGTCAGAAACATGGGATACAGTAGTTCCTGAAGCGGCTCCCAGGTACATGACCTTTACTCCTGGCTTGATGTGGATCTGGTCAATACCTCCTAAAATGGCAGCGGCCAACTTTGACCTGAAAGGATTCCACGCTCTGTACTCAATCTTAGTTTCTCCTTCCTGAAGAAAAAAAAAAACTGAATCACTTAAATGAACATTAGAGAGTATGATGTGCAATTTGATCAGACTATTAATATGGCAGATATGCATGACCAATCAGTTAAGTAGAGAGATAGAAAACTGGGTTTCATTGATCAATAATCAACATTTACAGCAAACTAAATATATATTTACCTATAATAACAACAACAACGTTAAACAGTTAATTATAATTTGCATTTACCATTACGCAAAACATTCCATAACTAGTGGATTACAAAAGTCTCTCCAATATGGTAGGAAATAAAAGAAATGAAAAGTGGAGAATATTGACGGTGATTGATGACTGACGCAACAGAGATCTGCAAATGCATCTGATTGATTGGAACTAAATTTTATTGTTGGAATTGAACAAGTGGCAATAATGTGTCTATAAAGTAAATTACACAATCACTCGACAGAAACCCAAACAGGGATATTTCGCATTCATAACATGAATTTAAAAGGTCTTCAACATGCAGTGAGAGCTTTAAGACTTTAATGTGTTATTTTCACTTTTCCAACATGAGTAACATACAATTCACAGAAAAATATTACAGACATGCTTCTACAAGCTCACCTCGACATTTATCCTCTTCTCTCCGTACACAGACTCTCCAATCACCATGTTCTTTGTGACCAGAGCATCCTCCTTACCACGGCAGATAAAAACTCCTGCGATTTCCCCAAGAAAACAGGACCATTTAGCACATTTATCTAACAGCAAACTAATTCCCCAATTATTTGAGAGAGTACTGACTGTGTCGCACCTTCATGTCTATGGGGTTCTACGGTCACCTTGGCTCCTCCTCTAAAGCCTCCTCGTCCTCCCCCTCTTCCTCCTCCCCGTCCTCTAGGAGTGCCACGGCCTCCGCCTCGTCCACGAAAGCCACCTTCACCTCCCGGAGACTTGAATCCTCCACCTTTATCAAACAACAGACAAAGAAATGGATCAATGTGTGTAGAATCAAATCCTGTCAGGCAAATTTAGAACAAGAATCATTTGATTACATATTAAAAGACTATCAGAAGCCCCAAAATACTTTTAAACATCCATCCATCCATCCATCTATAGCGAGAAAATCAGTATTGAACACGTCATGTTTTTTTCCTGGGAATAATATTTCTAAAGGAGCTGTTGACATGGAATTGGACCAGATTTTGGTTAAAACCCAAACAATTCAAACATAAAAATAAAACTAAACTAAAAAAAAATGTTTAATAACAATGGAATGACGAGACGAATGTACTGAACTACTGAAACACATTTAATACTTAATATAAAAGGCTTTTTTGGTGATGGCAGCTTAAAGACGCATCTCATAGAGAATGAAGTCACATGAATTGCTCAGTTTTCCCAGACTTCAACAGTGTACAAATCTTGATGGTTCTGTGAGTCTTGTCTATCAAATCTGATCTTTATTTAGCAGTTTATACTGAATTCAAGTCAAGTGATTCGCTGGGCTTTTCTACAGCTTGATTGTCTTTCTCTGAAAGCATTGGAGTGTTTTGGTTCATTGTCTTGCTGAATTGTCCACCCTGGATTCATCATCATCATCCTGAAAACCGAGTTGGGCACCCGACACGCTTGGTCTTTGTTTTACCCATAACCAAATCATAAATAAAGATAAGCTACATACAAATTACCACCTGTCAATCACTTTTTCTGCAGGACTCTGACATGAATAGAGTGATCAGTGTCGTTATAATGGCAAACTTGGTCGACAAACTTGGTTGGTAAAAAAGGTGCACAACCAACAGCAACTAACCAACAGTATCTGAGGTTTTCGCTAAAATTACAAGCATGAAAGCAAAAGATTGAAGCAGTGTACTGATGCTGTGACACGTTACCTGATAGATTCAAAAGACCGAAGAGTCGTTAGATTAGAGACAGGACTAAATAAACATCACATTTAACAACTATAGCGAGACAAGATCCAATGCTACATCCTTGATAAACTGTCCGATGTGCACTGCTCTCTGGGGGTGACTGCTGGAGCTCAGCGTTAAGACGCGTGTATAGCCTACACTGCAGCGCATGACAGAGTGTGCTTGTGTGTGTTTGTGGTCATGTTATGTGCGTTTTCAGGGGTATAATGTGGAAGCGCTAGATGAAACGCCAGTTTACATGGATCGTTTTCGTTCTAAAATGCCATTTGTAAACGGGGCCTGAGTGTGTATTTTTTGCGAGCAGATTTGCGACAGGGGTGGAGGATTGTGATGTCTATCGGTCATCGACAATGGATGATGGCATCATCTATCAACCCAACCCTACTTGATAATGTAGATTTTAGACTAAAGCAGCTAATATTAATTTACAATGAGGAAGGGCAGAGGGTTGCTGAAGAACTACTGAGAGATTTCAACTGCTGCCTGGGCTTTCACTGTGGTTCCCTTTCTTCATGTGTTCAATACTTTTTCCCTGCTCACTTCATTTTATTTGGCATAACCTAATTTGTAAACTAATTAGATTTGTTTTACATATATGGATTTTTTGCTTGTTACTAACATCCAGGGAAAGATTCAAGTCAACAGCACCTTTAGAAATACATTTTCCAAAAAAAAAAAAATGGTGATGCGTTCAATGCTTAATATCCACGCTCTATTTATCTATCTATCTTTCAAACCATTGTTAGTGCGAAGGAAATAATCATTTAATATGTAGTATAATTGTAAAATCATTCATCATTTTATAAATTAAGCCAGAGTACTGTTTTTTTATAAAATACACTTTGCTAAAATGTAATACGATTTTCTACACATTTAAAATCACTTTTAAATTCTTTTTTAAAAAAAGCCATAAGGCACATGCAATATATATATATATATGGGAGTAAAATAAAACTGCTTTAATATCCTGCTTACCAAAACCACCCCTGCCTCCTCGAAATCCTCCTCTTCCTCCGCGGTCTCCTCCGCCTCGTCCCCTTCCACCAAATCCTCCACGACCACCACCTCCCCTTGGGCTGAATCCTGAAGAGAAATATTACTTTGATGAAGGGAAAGAGCAAAACATTTAAAAGAAAAGGAGAAAAAACGCATTTGTGGATCATACTATTACTAAACCAGTTTAAAGTTGCAAGTGACTCCTTACAATAACCAGAAAAACATTTTTTATAGTTTCTTGTTTTCACCGGGTGGTATGGTAGAGCACATTTTTAACTTTGCACTGTCCGAAGTACCAAAAACAAGTCTGCTGTACTGCATTTATGGAAACTTTTAATAAATCAAAATTGCATTCACACAAATTTATGAAATCCATTAGTAACCACATTTGGGCCTGAAGACATACAAAAACAAAACATTCATTTTGTAAAAAGCTAAAACTTTCCAAATGCTTAAAAAGCCTCAAAATATTAACTTTTTTTAATGGTTACATTTGTAGCATATATATTTGGTACAGAACCAATTAAAAGAAGTTACTTTTCATTTCGTGTCATTTTAGAATGAATTACTATTAGGTGTCAAAAACGTTTCGTAAAAAATATAAAAGTTTAGTCAGAATCCATATAAAAACTTTAATCCATATAAAATCAATTAAATCCATATTAAAAAATTTAGTCTATCTTTAATATTTAATATAAAAAATAATTGCAAAAACCTTTTCTGCATTCACTCAATGAACAGCTGCTGTTCAGACAACATGGTTTTAGTTGATGTTTCATAAATACAAAATAACCCTTCTCTTGGCAAATAAGAAGTCGAATGTCATGATATTAGAGCGCTAAATGACAGCATTAAGAGGGTTAAATGATTGAAAAAGTTTATATTCACACATTCATTCAGTGACAACTTGTGACATGTTTCCTATATTGTTTACTATAACGTTTGTACTTTTAATATTCGGTCTGAAATTACAAGCAAGTATGACTCGAATACATTGACACTGTATTTGACTGTAAATAACACAAGCACTACGCATTTAACTGTGAGCAATATTGTACTTTGATAGTCACTCGCTGCTAAAATGATTTCATTATTTAGAATTTGCAAATAATATTTTTGAGAAAGTCCCTGTGTGTGAATGTAAAACTAACTTTACCTCAAGTCCATGTGAATATACCCCACTTTTGGAGACCACACAACAAACAACAGTTACATCTCGCTCAAAATACATTCTGTTTTGGGTGTATTTATGTCTTTGTTCATCCACAACAACAAAACTACTTATTGTACAAGAGGAAAAAACGTGTATTCCTCTAACGTTACTTCTAATAACTCGACAACGCACAAACTCAAATGTACAAAAAGTTGAATAAAGTTACACAAAACTCACCATTTAAAATAAAACACATTAACTAGACAACTAGTTTCAGAAACAAAAGCAAACTGGTTATTATCTCTAACTAGTTAAAAGCCATGTGGGGCTTCAGCACCGCGTGTAACAGCATGGCTCGGTCGCACGCACGTGCAGCGTTGTAACATGTGTAACGTTATTTACATGTACAAAAATAACGTTATTTACAACAAAATCACTTTTTAACAATTCTACACCAAAGCTTGTAATAAATTAAATAACAATGCCATGACATTTAAAGAGAACGAGCGTTTCTTTCACAAAACTGCAAGTGCGTGGCTAACTCATCCGGCTAACTCTAAACCAACACTTATAAACAGCGTTACTTGGATTATATTTTATAGCGTTGACTTTAGCTTTTAAAATCGAAATGTGTACATAACTTACCTGGTCTCATTTTATCTTATTTTGTGCGGTTGTTTTAACTGTACGAATAGCTGGCGTTAACTCAGACCCGCTTTTCCTCCGGTCTACTGCTGCACTGATCAGGTGGCCACATGTGCGTCGAACGTCTTTACCCACAATGCACTTGAAAAAAAGTCGTGATTTTACTCGTTGTTTCGCCATCTAGCGGGAAACATTGCAGCTACAATCATGAATCTGCTGCCTTCATGAGCCCTTTCAGTTCAATTCCCAGAGACTTTTCGGCTATTTGCTACTAAATGGTGAGGACTAACGATAAAATCAACAACACTACTAATACAATCTAATATAGGCTAGTTTTCTGCTTAAATTAATACACAGCGGATGCCCTTCCAGCTGCAACCCAGTACAGGGAAACATCAATATACACACTCAAACTCGACCACCCGGAGGAAACCCACAGGGAACACGGGGAGAACATGCAAACTCCAGAACTGACCCAACCGGGACTCGAACCAGCGACCTTTTTGCTGTGAAGGGACAGCGCTACAGCCACTGTGCCACCATCGGTTTATTCCATATTGTAAAAAGTTCCCTTATATTATTCCATTGTCTTTCAAGGTATACAGGTGAAGTATGATTTTAAGATTTTATCCGGGTCTTACAAACTGGATGACTGCTCTCTAAAAAAAGTTGAGTTATTTATTTAACCCAATTGTTGAGTTAAAAATTTTTAGTACTTAGTTGGGTTATATTTAACCTTTATTTAATCATTCATGAATAACTCAACTAGTTGGGTTAAATGCTTGGTGCCTTGTTGGGTTATTTATTTATTTATTTTTTGGTTATTTATTTAATAACTCAACTAATTGGGTGTAAAGATGCAATTCAAATTAAATGAAATATATTTTCTAACTTAAATGAATACAAATGTATGAGTGTACATTTAGGTAATGTATAGGTACAGTTAAAGAAATCTTATAAAATGTATCTTAAATAAATCTTAGTCTTATCTTAAATCCCTCACTCATCATTGTGTTGTCCACTCGTAGGCTCAAGGCATATCTTTGTTTTTAAGTCTATTCTGGGTTTATTCCCCTCATATCTATAAACTTACATTTGTAAAAAAAAAACAAAAAAAAAAAACTCTCTAGCTATAGTCTTTGGCCTCAGGAAGTGTATTTGGGCCATTTCTTCAACTACTGGCACTTTTAGCCTTGTAAAGTTGAGTAAAAAAATGGTTAAAAATTATCGTAACATAGCCACATAAGTTTAAACAGTTTGTCTAGTTTTACGATCTGTAAGAGGACCAACTTAGATAAGAAGAGAAACATTTTTTCATGGTGAACTGAACAAATATCAATTCCATCACATCTCAATATACAGCTTATTTCAAAATGTAATTAATTATGGCAGTCAAACATTGTCTAAAATCATTTTTGTATATAGTTTAATCAGTCTTCCCACAATATATATATATATATATATATATATATATATATATATATATATATATATATATATATATATATATATATATATATATATATATATGCATTTGTCAATGAAATAAATAGTTGTATGCTGAATTGTACACCTCTCACACTCTAAAATGTCATATTACTTTGGTTAAGAGCTTATTAGAAAATAAATAAACAGAATTTGTATATTAAATAGAGCATGAACTCATACATTGTGAATGCACTTTTAATGTGTGATGAGAACTTTTTCAATATTTTTTTTTAGAAATGTGTGTGGTGATGGAAATGACAGTGGTGGAAATAACATTTCAACAGTTTTTGTGAAAAACTTAAAATAGCTTCACCGATTGGCTTTGAACTGATACTAGCCTTTCATGTATACAAAACACTCTTATTTACCTTAATTTTGTTTGGTTTTTTAAAAACATCTTTGAAAGTACATGTTTGGTAATGACGTAAATGTATTTCCTTATCAAGCGATATTTACCTGGATTTTTCTTCAAGTGTTGTTGATAAAAAAGTAAATTCCCTCCATCTTGAACATCTTCTCAGATGGCACTATTCATTTTCATAGAAACCACCTAAAAAATCTTTCACACAAACCTTTTAAAGCAACATTACAGCATTGTGGTGGAAATGACACTGATAATGTGCGACAGCTATATTTTGTATAAACAATAATATTGATAATAGTCTCACATTAATACTAACACAGGGAGAACATGCAAACTCCACAGAGAAATGCCAACTGACACAGCCAAGGCTCAAACCAGTGACTGTGAGGCCAGAGCGCTACCCACTGCCCAGATTAGGCATTCTTGCAGTCTAAAAATCCTAACACAATGCACAGTATCTGAGAAGGATAATTTTATTAATTTGCTTTATTATTCACGTCTTGTATAAAACAGAACTGAATTGCAAACAAACAAGAAGCAATAAATAAAAGTGAAGGTGTTCCTCGAGCACAAATATGAGTGACACAATAAAAATGAAGAAATGATCCAAACAGTACCGCCAATGTCATACATTTTCAATAAAAGACAGAGAGACAATTCAGTTGTGCATTCTGTTTGTTGGGTGTTAATATCCAACGCATGTTTGTGTTACAGCCAGTGTTGGGGGTAACGCAAGTTACATAATAATATTACTTTTCTAAGTAACAAGTGAAGTAACGCATTACTTTAAAACAATAAGTAATAATTTTTGAGTAACTTTTTAGTTTAGTTAATTCGCTTTTAAAAAGTAAATAACTAAATTAAAATTAAAGTAGTCACAATGAATCACGCAGTCATTGAGAGAATGTGTTCATTATTTTGAACACAACGAAGAAATGAAAAAGGGATTGTGTCGATGGACAGGGATTTTACTGAAGACAAAAGTAGCAAACGCATTGCTTTAAACTTTCAATAATCTGTACGGCATGTATAGTTCTGGGTTTAGAACCTTCTCAGAATATATTATCCTAAAATGTATTTTTTTTCATGTGTTTTTAAAAGTAAATATAGGTTTAGATTATACTGCTAGATGTTATTAATTGCAGATCTACGCTATTTAAAAAATTAAAGAAAAAAGTTCTGAAAGAGGTTAAGCCTTAGTCAGATAAGATAAAAAGTAACGCAAAAGTAACTCAAAAGTAGTGTAACACAGTTTACTTATCATAAAAAGTAACCAAGTAACATAAATAGTTACTTCTTTTGTGGAGAAACTCAATATTGTAATGCATTACTTTCAAAAGTAACTTCCCCCAACACTGCTTACAGCTCATTTCTCATCTTTAACCCTTTGGCAAATCTGACTGCAACGGCAGTCAACAGCAGAGGTCGCTGTTCCTCACTGAAAATCTACTTGCTTCGCTGTAAAGCCCAACAGTCAACTTGATCAAATGAAATGAGTGTAGTTAACTCAAAATTTTCTGAAAGTTAACTCTACTCATTTGAAAATAGTTCTGAACTCAGTGTTGAAGGTAAGGAGCTAATTAAATACCTCATTACTTCAACCTAAAAGGAGTAAGTTAACAGTACTCATAAAGATTAGTTTTTTAACTCAAATGGTTTGTAGCAATCGGTTTCCTCAAATGGTTTGAGTTGCTTTAACTTATTGGGTTTTACAGTGCTCAGTTGGTTTGAGTTCTCTTCATTTATTCTTTTACTGAGCTCAAATTGCTTCGTTTACTCAAATGGATTAAGTTCACAGTACTCATTTGGATTAGTTTTTCAACTTAAATGGTTTGTTGCAATTGGTTTCCTCAATTGGTTATGAGTTACCTTAACTTTTTGGGTTTTACAGTGTAGCTTCAGAAATGACTTACTATACATGAGCACGTGTTTATGATTCGACACATGATGTGCAATTGTAAGCTTGTTCTATGCATAATCAATATTCCCTTTAATGAGAATGGAATGTCTTTTGTAAATTAAATATTTTTTTAACCAGCAATTTTACACAGAAAATGCTGTGGTTTGGCTAATAAGCACAAAAAAATCATATAATTCAATAAATAAATGGATTTAGAAATATTTATAAACCTCAAAATCAATGATGCAAGCTGATAGCATGTGTTAAGCAAGATATACATATGCATCTTGCTTACTGAAATAAACTGCATTTAAATTCAAGATATAACAGCTTATAAAGTGCCCCTATTATGCTTTTTGTAGATTACCTATTATATCAAATGTAATGTAGCTGTTTGCAAATGTGAAAAGGTTTCAAAACTCAATTGCAGTTATTGTCTCTGAAAAGAAGCAACCAATTCTGAACCGCCTGAAACGAGCCATCAGTAATTACAATCGATGTAGATTTGTAACACGTTTGCATAATGCCCATATATGGTCTTCAGTTGTTGCCAGTAAACATCTATTTAGCCCTCAAACATAGTAGCTAAAGAGTTTGATACATGTTTTGGAAATGTTGAGAAGACTCTTTCAGTGCTGTGAAAGCAAATCCACTTTGCATGTGTTTCCAAAAGATGAGGACTTGCTTAAATGTATACAATTAAACTGTTCACATAACTGAGGAAAACCTGAAGTTCAGGGGTCTCATTTATAAATGTGGGGTCCACACAAAATGGGGCTGGAAACAATTTTAAATCATTATTTGAGCCATAATCATTAATAAACAAATATATAAAAAAAATATACTTGCGTATGTTCACTTTTAAGAAGGTTTCAATAAATGTTTTATAAATGAGACCATTGATATGGTAATGTGGATTTCATTTTTAACATGTGCTGGGCCATATTTGACCAATCAGAGCAGAGTGCACTCAAACAGGCGGGGTTTAGAGAGACCCAATCCTTGAACAAACTGTTTCAGACACTTTGGACCCTGTTAGTCTTGTATTAAGATTGATTTTGTTCATTCCAATAACAGGTAGACAAATCACTTTCATTTCTTTTGTCCACCGATTGTCAGACGAGGAGGATTATGGAATAACTTTGTGAAATATACTTACTGTACAGTCAAAGAAAAAACCTTTAAAGTGCACTGAAATACAGAGTTTTTCCAGAGGGTGCTTAACTTTGAACTTTTATGATTAAAAAAGAGATGGTAATTATGATGTACTCTTTCTTTTGTTAAACGTTTTTATAGTTAAATATTAAGTAAATGTTAAAGTAATGAAATCAACTTAAAAGATTTTAGGAACTGATTGATTGATAACATGTAGTGTTTTTACGAGTAAAAGCTGTTTTTAATCACATGAACAGACCAATCATGTGAGACATTTTTTGGTGACTGAAGTCACATTTCTTTATGTTGCTTCGATAAAATAAAATGATTAACAGAGAAATATTTACTTTATACAAGAAACAGCATAGGCTAGATCAGGTGTAAAAATTGTGGAAAAAAATACTTAATGCTGCAATGTAGTCTACATTATGTAAGGGATAATCTAAATAAAGGCGGTTGTACTCACAGAGTATCGCCAGACAGGCAGCTGTTGTATAGGACTGAATGTTTTTTTTCTGCAAAAACAACCAGCTAGATCTACACCATCCCACTTTTTTATACAACTACTTGACACAAAACTAAACAACTCAAACATTGATCCGAGCTGTAACAATTTACTAACTTTGACTGCCTGCTCGACCAATGGTTGACCATGTTTTGACTATTTTTTATTGAGAGGAGTATCAAACTTAACTCAACCTGATTGAGCCATCTCTACCGTCTGGTACATACATACTGTGTGTAAAATCCACTAGTTGTCACCAACTCACTCAACAGCACCCGTCACTACATTGCTTCAAACTATTGCAGTCAAAAACAAAGAAATAACTCCTGCCATGTGAACTATTTTTGCTGATAATATTCAAGGTAAGCATATTTTTAACATATTATTACCCTCTAAGAGCCTTCTTTACAAAGTTATGTTATAGTGCCAAAAATATTTAGTATATTTGTAATAATTTTTCAAAAATTTGCTCAACCAAACAGTTGATTTGTCACTTTATGGTAAATGTAGAAAAGCAAAAGTAATGTTTTCATATCATTAAACAAAGTTGGCATAAACAAAACAACTGGATGTAGCCTAACATATTCAGATGGCGCCAAATGGTCAAAAACAGCAGCAAAATATTCACTAACTGCCAAGATGATTAGTAGTACCTGGATGACGCTGTCTTATTAGTTTGAGTGGTTATTATCATAGGAAAAACATAGGAACAGTGGTGTAGTCCTAAAAAAAGTGGTGTACTATATTGTCCACCCAACCCAAATGATGTTGGCAAAGAAATGCCAAAAGTCACTGTTTCTTTAATTCATTAGCAATATATATATATATATATATTTAGCATAAGATACCTGTAGCTATTGACTTCCACAGAAGGAAAATAAATACTATGTAAGTCAATGGTTACATGTTTCCAGCTTTCTTCAAAATAATCTTTCTTCCTTTGTGCTCCACACAATAAAAAAGCACAAACCATTTGGGAACAAGTAAAGGTAGAGTAAATTATGACAATTTTCATTTTTTTTGGGTGAACTATCCATTAAAAAAAGAAAAAATATTAAAACAAATGTGTTAATTTTAAAGAGAAATCCTAATAGTCGAATACTTTTCGATGCATTATGTTTAGCTAATTTTCCCCCTAGCAGACCCGGAGATTGGCTGAGTATATCAAGCTGTGGTGAAATCCAATTGTTTAACTCTAGAGGACTTGTAAAAAAAAAAAAAAAAAAAAAAAAAAACATTTGTCATCCAATTAAAGGAAATGTGAATACACATAAGTTAGGGAAGTTTAATCAGCAAAACAAGTGAGTATACCAAGGGTTTACCCAATTATTGATCCTCAGAAGATGTAATATCTAACAGCTTGTGGAAAAAAGTAGGCTACGGAGTATACGTGCGTATAGCCCCGACTACACCACTGCATAGGAACGCTGTTATTGACCAATCAGAATCAAGTATTCCAGAAAGCCGTGTAAGGAAATAAAAGTGCTTTTGAACCGGGATTAATCAAACTAATGATTTAAAAAAAAGCTAAAAAAAAACAATATTTGAGTATTTTGGGGCTGACAATCCACTTTAAAGGGTAAAACTAATAGGTTATCTTACTTCCCTCATGTTGTCCCAACACCAATCGATTGTGTGGAACCCAGCATTTTTTACAGTGTATGAATGTAAACCCAAAACAATATGATAAACCTTGAAAACAGCATAACAGGGGCTACTTTAAGTATTTTTCGCAAATACTTTTGCAAACCTTAATGCGGCGTTGCTCTATTCTCCAAAGCATTTAGTACCAGTGTGGTTTTAATGACAAAATGCAGACCTACAGGCCTAGAGATTAGTAACTATCTTCAGTTTAAGTGAGTTTTTCTATCTTTCTGCCACACGGGGGCAGCAGCAGACCCTCATTCATGCTCGATCTCCATTCTGTTCACATCCCCATTGCTAACAGTCTCTTCTGCGTCTTCATCTATATTCTCCTCCTTCTCCTCCGGCGTCTCAACAGGGCTTGCTGGCTCCGCTAGGGCCGCTGGAGGTGAAATAGGGGGCAGAGGTATGGATTCCCCTTTCTTGAGCAGTTCTGCGAGCTCTCTGGCGGAGCAGGATGGTGTCGGGGCGGGATAGGTGTGGTGGAAGGTGTCATAATCCACCTCGTAGAAACCCTCCTCCAGTGAGAGCACAGGGGTGAAGCGCTCGCCCCACAGCACCTCTGAGCTCAGGTAGGAGCTGCGCGCCTGACACGTCATTCCTGAGGGAAACAAGGAGGAAGACCAGCATCAGGTCAGCACAGACAAGAGTGGAGGCTGATTTTAAATGGCCAGGTGGGCAATCATGAATAGTTTAGTACAAAAATATAATATCAAGTATTGAAGAAGCAACAAAAATAAAAATGATAGACTTAAAGCAACACTCTTGATGAATTAAATCTGAACAGAAGAGTTAGCAAAAAAGAATTAATTCATTCATTTATTTTCCTTCATCTTAGTTGCTAATTTATCAAGGGTCACCACAGCACAATGAACCGCCACCTATTTTAGCATATGTTTTAACTCAGCGGATACCCCTGCAGTTGCAACCCAGTACTGGGAAACCAAAAAAAATTACAAACTATAACTATATTTGACTATATTTGATATATTTTATGTTTCTCTTGGTTCTTGAATAAAAATGAAAGACTTGAAGCAAAACACGCTTGATTACTTAAATCTGAACAAACAAGTTATTGCAAAAAGAATTACATACAGTTGAAGTCAGAATTATTAGCCCCCCTTTTAATTTTTTTTCTTTTTCAAATATTTCCGAAATGATGTGTAACGGATTCAGGAAATTTTCACAGTATGTCTGATGATATTGCTTCTTCTGGAGAAAGTCCTATTTGTTTTATTTTAGCTAGAATAAAAGTTTTTTATTTTTATAAAAGCCATTTTAAGGTCAAAATTATTACCCCCCCCCCCCCCTTTTTTTTTTTTTTCTACAGAACAAACCATTATCTGTACTGTTACTATTGAATGATAACTCTCAATTTCCCTTAAATGCAAAGGTCCGTAAATTTTGGTTAGCTGCTTCAACTGCTACATAGAAAATGTTTGGTACAAAGGTGGAAACCTCCTCATGATCTCTCAGTTAAGCACTGGTTACATTCATTATTGGAAATATTGTATCTGGAACTGTCATCAGCACGGATCAACCATGCCAAAGTGGACATTCTTACGGCATGGAAAATCTACATATGCAACATCAAAGAAATCTTGGACACTTAACCCTCATCTGATGCTATGGATGACAACTTAATGGAAATTATCTAACAGCTTGGTCCAAACTATAGTTATTCTGTGTTTCCGGATGTGCGTATAATGGGGTGGGGGGATGGGGAATATATTTGGGGTTATATCTGTTAAAAGTATTTTGTTATCTGATTGTAAAAATTTTATATTCTCACTTTCGGAAATAAAAAACTGAATTACAAAAAAAAAAAAAAAAAAAGAACAAACCATTATTATACAATGACTTACCTAATTCCCCTAACCTGCCTAGTTAACCTAGTTAACCTAGTTAAGCCTTTAAATGTCACTTTAAGCTGTATAGAAGTGTCTTGAAAAATGTCTAGTCAAATATTATTTACTGTCATCATGGCAAAGATTAAATAAATCAGTTATTAGAAATGAGTTATTAAAACTATTATGTTCAGATATGTGTTGAGATAATTTTCTCTACGTTAAACAGAAATTGGGGGCTATTTTTGTTTCTCTTGATTCTTTAATTATGACACAAATAAAAATTAAAGGCTTGAAGAAACGACTCTCTCTGTGAATTAAATCTAAACAAACAAGTTATTGTAAAAACTATTAAATTAACTACATTTGATTTTTTTCTTTCTTTTGATTGTTGAATTATGACACAATTAAAAATTAAAGGCTTGAAGAAGCAACTCTCTTGATTACTTAAATCTGAACAAACGAGATATTGCAAAAAAGAATTAATAACATTTTAACTACATTTGATATTCTTTATGTTTTTCTTGATTTTTCCTGTTCATTAAATTTTTTTGTAAAATGTACATTGAACAACAATTCAATTAAATTCGTCTTTATTCTTATAGCACTTTCACAATGTAAGAAAAGATTGATTTTTGAAAATATTATAGAAAACATTCACTTAAAAGAGAGCTCTGAGGAGTGTATTCATTTAAGCTGAGCACTCTATTATTATATGGTTTGATATATGCAAATTATTCCTTTTATTAACATGATGCAATATGTATACAGTGATGGAAAAAATTTAATTTAACATAATTTTTGTTTGTGTAAACAAGTGGAAAATGACAAATAATCAAAATAAAACTGCCGTGTTTTTAGACTGGCTTATGTGAATTTTTAGACAAGACAATACCAATATTTAAACTTCAGAACAGTTAAGAATGTTTGGTGGAATACTACCTGATTTTTCAATAACAACAAATGGAAATAAGAATACAATAAAACAAACAAACAAATAAAGACAATCTAAATTAAATGATTTTATTTTGAATTCGGGGGAAAAATGTTATAAGAGCTTTCTAGACCTTTTTAAGTGGTCTCCTCATTTTTAACATAGCTGTCGACCACAGGTGCTAAACTCCAAGTTTCCCACAGTTCTCCATGTTTTCAATTCACCCCCTAATGAATCACCTGATCAAACTACTGGAGTTCCTCAGGGTTGTTTAAAACCTACAGGAAAATGTGTTGGAGCTAAACTCTGTGCAGGGCTGCAGTTTTCATTTTTCTTCGGCTTAGTCTCTTATTTATCAGGGGTCGCCACAGCGAAATGAACCGTCAACTATTTCGGCATATGTTTTACACAGCGGATGTCCTTCCAGCCGGAACCTAGTACTGGGAAACACATATACACTCTCACATTCACACACACACACATACACACTACGGCCAATTTTGTTTCCCCAATTAATTTATACAGCATGTCTTTGCAGTCTGTGGGGGAAACTAAAGCACCCGGAGAAAACCCACACCAACACAGGAGAACATGCAAACTCTACACTGAAATGCCAACAGGCCCAGCCTGCACTCAAACCAGCGACCTTCTTGCTGTGAGGCGACAGTGCTAACCACTGAGCCCCCGTGCCGCCCCCTGCTGTAGACATACATGATTAAAAAAGAAAAAAAGTTCATCCTGATAAGACTGCATATTAACCCACTTCAGTAACCTTTGCAGAAGAGCCACCTGTTCTGTTTCCTCTTCAAATATCTAAAGTTCACTCTAATTGTGTTTTTGACATTTTAAGGGCTGCGCTGATCCTGCCGATGTGAACGTACTGTAAGCTTAATTAATTGAAAATATCCTTTTTCCTGTGAAACGCAGACATGTATGCACATGCACTGCCGAATATTTATGAGCACACCATCTGAAAATAGAATACAAGCGTTTTCATCATCTGCTTAAGTGAACCTCGAATAACTGCATCAATTACTCCAGAGACGCGCACTGACAAACACACACACACACACACACACACACACACACACACACACACACACACACACACACACACACACACACACACACACACACACACACACACACACACACACACACACACACACACAGCAGTCATATAATGAATATAAATGATATCTATGTAAACTCAGCAGATATTATTCATCAAACACATCCAAATTCATGAGAGTACAGTAGTTCAATAACCACACATGATATACATGCATCTATAACACAAATCAATATGTATGACTTCAAAACAACAAGAGATACTTCCCTTCAAGTGCTAATGTTCTGCACTGTTCTGGCGATTTTAAACTAAAAGCCTAGAAATTAAAAAAAACAATATGACATCTATCTTTCTTATGACTGAGCAAATTACCAATAGCCCAAAGTTACTGTTTAATCAAAGTATAGCATAACCAAAACTGTTAATGTGCTAAAGCATGTTTTCAAAATGATAAAATATCATACTGTACTGTTAAAACATGCAAACAACTTGCTAAAACCATAACAGCAATGCGACAATGTTTACATTTGTTGTTAAACATGCTAGCAACATGTTAAATTACTGTATGTTAAAGGGCAAAATTAAAACGGGAAAAACATGTTAAAACAAGCAAACAGCATATTAAAATGTAAAATTATTAGGCTAAATCATGTTAACATGGAAAATATTCTAAAACACAGTATGTTAAAATATGCTAGCAACATGCTAAATTGTCTTCAGCTTGCTAAAATGCAGCAGCTACACAGATAACAAGGTTAAGGTCCTAAAAAGTTCTCTTTACATTCCCATCTATTATGTAACATTATAATTTTTTTGAATGTTCAAATAGTTTTTTCTTTGACGTTTTAACATGAAGTTTTGGTTATAATAAGATTATTCAAAATGCTTTCATAAAGTTACAGTCTTTTGTTGTGCTAATGTTCTCAGAATGCTTTTTAAAACGGTATTAAAACATTTGCATATTGTGGAAGGAATGTTCTACGTACGTTTCACTATCTTTCTTAGTAAGTTTTAAAATGTTACTGTGGGAGGTTGTTGGAACAGTTAAAATTTCTGAATAATGTAGATTCTGTAGGGCTTCACGATATTAGAAAAATCTGATATTGCAATATATTTTTCTGCGATTATATTGCGATATGAAAAGATGGTTTGAATAGCCGTAAGGCATATTAATTCTGTATAAATAATTAAAGTAAATAAATCTTTGTTACACTTTGAAACATCATGATGTTTTGTGCTCAAATGTTCTAAAGTCTCCTGAAATGCTCAGTCACAGGCCTTAAAAAGCACATGCAAACTCTACAAATCACATGTGTTCTGTGGATTCTGGTCAATTAAATTTCAGACTCAACGCTGCATATATTGCGATGTGACTATTGCAGATGCGCACATCCATGCTGAAACGATATATTGTGCAGCCCTAGAACAATACTATTTTTTTGGTTAATAACATAAGCAGAACATTATTCACATTATATAACTATTCACATTATATAAAAGTTCTAAGAACGTTCCCCTAAAATTCTCAGTAAGTTACATAGACATTATTATTGAAGGTTATTAGAACATTCAAAATGTCCAGCATTGTAGATGACATATTAACATTATTTTTCAGTTATTATAATGCTGTTTAAAATGTTTATATATTTTAGCTCCATAATGTTCTCGGTATGTTATTATTTAAATATAAACATAATTAAAACAGTTCTGTTCACATTAATATACTGTGCTCTAAGAATGTGCTTCTA